ACCTGGTGAATAGGACAAAGTGAGGAAGGCCAGGATGTTGATGGTGATCCTATCACTGCCCATGAAATTTATGCTGGGTAAGAAGGGAAATGAAGTTATATTTAGCTTATTAAAGACTAATGGAAACCGAACCAAAAGAGAGCCCACTGTCACTCACTTAATAACGGAAGAGAATGTGTTGATGTGTCATCACTTACAGTTTATTTTGTAAGCAATGCCTTATTCAAACATTCAAGCACACAGTATGTGCCAGAGGTACGAACATGTGCAAGAAAAACCTGACCCAGGGCTCAGAGTCTCGTGAGGGATGGAGACAGAAGCATAATTGTGACCGGTGTGGGAAGCAGAATAACAGGAACATGGGTGTGCACAGGAAATCATGAATCACAAAGGAGAACTTCTTTAAGAGGAGCAGAGGTCAAAGGAAAATCCCCAAAGGAGGAGAAATCTGAGCTTAACTCTTCAAGGTGTGGCATGAAGGAGTGAAGAAAAAGCACTCCAAGCAGAAGGGACAGGTCAGAGCAGTGGGGCTGTGTGGAAAACCAGTGAGGTTGAAGAGTCAGGGAGATCATAAAGCCCTGCTCAGAATCCTGGACTCGGCCTGCAGACAGCGGGGAGGCAAAGTATTTGGGTACAGGTCACCCCGCAAGATGGCTCATTCTGACAGCTACTGAGCATGCAGGTCTGAGAAGATAGAGTGGAGGCAGAGGGCCAGGTGGAAGGAGGGCATGATCGAACAGGAGACAGGTGATGAACGCTCAGGCCTGGCAGTGGGAGTGGAGGGAGAAATGGATTCGGTGAACAGCTGAGAGAGAATGGGCAGGCCTCACGGAAAGTGGAGAGGTCGGAGCACAGGGCAACACTGGCTTGGGTGACCATTTGGACAGTGGTGCCGACTGAGAACAGAGGAAAAATGAGTTTGGAAAGAGAAGAGTTTGTGCATGAACGTGCCATTTGAGGTTCTGGGAAGCAGCCAGGGAGCGTTCTCCAGCTTTCAGCTAAACACCCAAGCCAAAGTTCAGCAGAGATCTTCACCAGAAGACAGTTTCTTTCTGAACATTGTACTTTTTTTAAGAATTGTTTTATTTAACTTTATTTATTTATTTTTTAATTTAATCAGAGAGGGACAGAGTGAGTGTTTTGGTGGGGAGCGAGGGTGAGAAAGTAAGCCACAAGGTCCGGGACTTGAACCACCATCAGCCATGTGGGAACACCCTTAACCACACCACTTGCCAGCCCCCTAAACACTCTATCTTAAGACAGTGGTCCCTGGGCTTTGTTTGGCATCAGATCACACTATGAGCTTTTAAAATCCAGATTCCCAGGGCCAGCAGGTGGCACAGGGGCTAAGGCACTGGACTCCCACATGGCCAACCAGGGTTTGAGTCCCAAACCTGGCAGCTTGCTTTCTCACTCTCCCTTTCTTTTTCTCTCTCTCTGACTCTCTTCAGTCAAATTTTAAAACAAGTAAAATGAAATACATAATGCTTTAAAAAAAAAAAATCCAGATTCCCTGACCCACCTTGGTTGACAGATTCATGTCTTCAAAATGGGATATGTTCTTCTATGAATAATTCCCAAACAGCATAAAGGCTAGGGAGATTTTCAAGCTAAGAACTATGTTCTGAGAGTCAAAATTGAGTTCTAATGCTAACCGCAATCCAGTAGCTTTGTGACCTTGAACAAGTTACTTATCCTCTACTAAGCCTTCCTTTCACCACCTGGAGAGAGCTCTAAGTAGGTCGGGCCACTTCCTACTAGTGGTGCTGCTGCCAGAGCACAGGAAACAGCTCAGTAATGAGCAGCTGGTGTTTCTTTTAATGAGAAAGTCTCACCACCCTATAGTACTGTTCTGCGTAGCAGTTACCTTTTTCTAATTTTTCGAGGATTAGAGCTCTGGTTGCATTGAGAGAAAGAAAAAACACCCCCAATGCCAGGGGACATGGTAACATGGCAATCCCTTGTCCTTCCTCTCTCCCTCCTTTTGGGCACACATGCACATGAGCCCAGTGGGTCCTGCACTTGAACCCCACAGCTGACAATGTGGGGGTAACACCTTGTGTCATGGGCTGGTCTATTCTTTTTTGCTTTTTTGCTTCTTAATGTCCCCTTCCCCTCCCATTAATACCGCCATTAGAATTAGAATATAAGCATCCTAAGACACTGGCCTAGCTGCCAGTTCACCATTCTATCTGCAGTGACCAGTCAGGCATGGTAGGTGCTCCCTAAACTCAGGAGTAAATGACTAGAGTTACCAAAAAATGATCAAAATGGACTCACTCAATCTGACATTTCACAATCACTACCTGTTTTTTTTTTTTTTTTTTTTTGGAGAGGTTTTTGCTATAGGGCGCATGCACTCACCAGAAAGACAGAAAGTGAGAAATCACCCCCCAGAGGGGATGGTCACACCGCAATCCTTTCTCTGTTCTCCTCTGGGAATCTTGGGCATGTACGTACAAGTGCCTGGCGTGAGTTTAAGCCACCGGGTCCAGGACTCAAACCATGGTTGACTACATGGAAGTCCAGCCACATAGCCATTATGCCAACTGCTGGTCCCCCTGTTTGAGTTCTTACTGTTTCAATTTTACAGAGATTAACCTTTTTTTAATTGCCAGAAGGCATGTGTGCTTTCCAGAGAGACAGACAGGAAGAGAAAGAAAGCATTCCCCCAATGGGTACAGTCACTACAGTCCCTTCTCCTCCATTTCTCATTCCTATTGGAATTTAGGGCATGTACACACATGCCCCATGTGGGGTTTTTTTTTGTTTTTTTTTGTTTTTTGTTTTTTAAAGAAGTATGTTATTTAACTTTATTTATCGAAATTTGACTGGAGA